GGCCCCGCCCCACTTCGCTGAGGCCCCGCCCCAGACATCCAGGCCCCGCCCACACTCCCTGGCTCACCTCTTGCAGAAGAGGCAGCTGGAGGGCCAGGAGAAGAGCGGGAACCTGGTTCGGCAGCAGCAGCAAATCTGGGGAGAGGGCCCCTAAGCCCCTTGGCAGCACGAGGGGCCGCCTGCCCGCCCCGCGCCCGCGGGAGTGGCCAAGCCCGCACCTTCCCCTTCTTCAGGCCGCTGAGGAGCTCCTTGTGCTGCAGGAACTTCTCCATCTCCGCCTTCACCAGCACCCGGCGCACGTCCATCACCTCCTCCACCGTCAGGGCCAGGCTCTCCGCGGGGTGGCTGAACTCCTGGGGGGCGGGAGTCGGGGCGGCAGACAGCTGACCCTTTGCACACCACCCAGGGGTCCCCAGACGTGGGTGTGCGGCTTGGCCACGGGAACCCCTCGGCCCCTGTGGCCCCAGGGCAGTGCCCACCACTTACCATCCAGCGGTGACTGGCATCAGGGGCTGGGGAGGCCTCCATCCCAGCCTCCCCAGCACTGCAGTGGCCGCAGGGTACGGAGCGGGGGTCAGGGGGACCCTGGCTGCTCCCGGCAGGGAGGCCTGCAGGGGACACGGGGCATGAGGAGACCTGCTGGGGCTGTGGGCTGAGGGCCTCCAGCACAGCAGGGGCAGCACCCCACGTTGCATGGACCAGCCGCTGGGCAGGACAGGAAGGCTGGCAGAGAAGGGGTGTCTCCCGGAGCCCCCCAGGCTGACGCTGCCACCGCGGGGTCCCTGGGTCTTGTGGGGCAGCTTGGGGGCCCCTGAGTGAGTCACGACTCTCCAGTGTGACCCCCTCACTCAGGAGGCACCTCAAGGGCAGGCAGGGCCTGGGCGCCCCCCACACCCGCCTTCCACTGCTGCCTGTCTCACAGCCCGCCCGCCCACAGCCGCCTCCCCTGCGCCAGCACCCCACAGAGGTCGCAGAACCCTGGGGAGTTGAAAGTCCAAGTTTTGCAATGACCGTGGGGTCCTAAAACTAAAAGCGTCAGGGCGAGGGCCTGGGGGAGGCGGGCTGAAGTCAGCCCCCTGTGAGGGCACCGTCCAGCAGACGGGACAGACTTGCCCTGCTCCTGGGCTCCGGGTCCCCAGGCAACGCTCCCACGGGCCCCGGCCGGAGCTGGCCCTCCGGGGGGCTCTGAGGCCGGCTGGCGGCCGGCAGCCATCTCGCTGCGCAGCTGGGCCAGGTCGTGTTCCGAGAAGGAGCGGTCCCGCTTCAGCGCCAACTCCCCGCACGGGGACTCCTCCTCCTGGGGACACAGCAGACCAGCCTGACCGCCTGCCCGGCCGCCGCCTGCCGCCCGCACTGTGCTCCGGACAGCACAGCCCTCCCTCGAGGCCTGGGGGCAGGGCCGGCGTGAGGGCGTGGCCCCGGCCTGCCTTGGGGCCAGCAAGGGGACCCCCACCCAGGTCCCCGCCCCCAGGCCCCGCCAGGCCTGCAG